GCCCGTGGTAGTGGCCATAACCATTCATGTTCTGAAGAAGTGTACGCGACCCTGGTGCAGAAAGTTCAATCGATACCATCTGAATATTACGACAGGTGACCAAAAACACTACTCGCCAGAAAACGCAAAAGAAGAAAAAATTTAACACGTAAAGTATAGGAAAAAGGCTCACGGAAACAGCTGTATCTCAGGGCAAAATCAAGATTTTGGAATTTCGAAAAAAGCAATGGAAAGGGGAGAAAAAATACTATTAAAAAATTGAATAAAAAAAATTTTGAATTTAAGGTGTATATAAGCCCTTAAATGAATAAAATAGGGATTTATCTGCAATTATCATGAACTGGCCTTGCTTGAAATTATATGAAGGGATTACTGAACATTCTAAATTGTTATTAGATAAAGATGTGAAAAAAATTTGGCAAATCTATCATGAAGATAGAGCAAAAATAATAAGAAGGTACTTTACGTATGAAAAAAGACAAGATACTTCCTACGAAAATATCTGGAAAGAGGCAAAATCATATGAGCAGTTGAGAAATGATAAAATTCCTAAAACTCTGGTAATTTTTTAACTATTATTCAACTACTTTAAGGAAGAATCAAAGGACCTTTATCAGCTTGTTGATGTAAGTAAATTTACGGGTTTTTCTTAGTACTCTTTTACTAAAGCTATCATGCTATCATTTCAGTCCTTATATCAGTTCTAAGTCAATCATTTTTTTTCAGGAGTTCAATGACAGAGCTATCGTTGATACCGAATATCCAATTATTTTAATAAAAAGTGATTATCTTAAATTTCATTTTTTTCAAAAGGTCAAACCTAACTGTACATTTATTTTCAGGATTCTCTATGTATGCCGAGGTTGTTCCGTTAAATTCATTGTCAAACAAGATATTGAAATTGACTGCAAAAACCATGTACAGGCATGTACGGGCTTAAGTCATATTTTACATAATTACGAATCACATACACATAGAACGAGTCGAGAATGTCATACTCTAGGCAAACAGGTTTTGATATCCTATGAGCCACCTTGAATATAGAAAACTATCATTTTATGGATTACAATATATGAGATTTTTAGAGTATCGATTTTCGTCCAAAGAAAAGAGCTTCGCGATACCAAGGTACATGTACTAGTCATAATGTACATAATTTGGACTTGCGTACGCAAACAAAGAGTTGAGTATGTCGTACACTGAGAGAAAAAAATTCATATAATTAGGAGCCGACTTGAATTTCGGTAACTATAATTTTTGTATCAAAATATATCAAATTTTCAAAATATCGTTTCTCGTCCAAATAAAAGAGCATCGCGACGCATAAATCTGCTAATACGGAAGCATTGTTCGTATGGGAAAAGGGGGTTCGGTTCCACGTACGGCTGAAATGTCTACACCAGCGGACTTAGATACTCGCACCTCGAAAATTTGCGATCGATTAGTCGCTTTCCTCACCATTTCTAAACAACAGCTCGTGACTACAGTTTGTTGTATAATGTGCTGTGGAGGGGACAATTTTGAGCGAGTCTGCGAGTTTTTGCAGAGTTTCGCCGACATCGTAAGCGTTCAGTTAGTCAGAGCGGAAACACGCTTGACCATCACCAGGCTGATGTATGACGAGTGACCCTGAGGAGGGTCGATGTTATTTGTTGCCTCTTAGTTTACAAGTTTTGCAAACTCTACGTTTAGTCCTGAAAAGGACTAGTTTTGATGCAGGCTGTTAATTTGTGCAGAAAGACTGGCTGTGACCAGCTATGACCCATGTTGACAGCTTCGACAATAATTGATTGAATTGAGTCGAGAGACTTATACTAGTACTCTGAACTCGACCTTTTCTTTTGCAGGTACGACTTTTCAATGGCGACGCGCCACCTGGTGGCCGAGTCGGAAGTTTGAAAAGTCAAAAGGTGGGGAAAGGTGTTGAAATAATGAGGCGAGTATTTTATAATTTAACCAAGTTCACTATTGAGAAGTGGCCATCTTAACTGCCAAGGACTCATTATTTAGTCTGGTTTTTAAGTAGTTTTGAGGATTGAATTAAATTACTACTAATTGATGCTTCATTTTAGTCATAATAATAAAAAAAATTTGAATTTAATATTTCTCAATCATTTGAGCGTTATTTGGTACAGTTCAATGGAATTTAACGAATTATAATTAAAATTGTCGACGGTTTTATGACATTTTCATAAGATTCAGTCTTATTTTTCTAACAATTATTTGACATTAATCATAGCAAACTGAAAATATTACATTTCAAAAGCGGTACAAGAATTTCGAGTTTCACTGAGAAATTTCGACGAATTTATTTTCACGCGATTTTCAGTGTAGCTCCGACAAACCACCGACACTTTTCCAAATTTAAAAACAAAATATTTCACATAATGGAAAAAATTCAATTTAGAAAAATAATTAGATACTGCTCGGGACGCCATTCCGCAGGCTCATTCAATATATAGCGAGCAACGAAAACGTCGGGATCGCTTCGAGATAACTTGGCATCTTTTGTAATGAAATGAACCATAAGATTCTTGATAATTTCCACTTTCATTGCGTTTCAGCTCTTTATTATCCGAGATTACATGATAGTTTCTCTTCAGCAGCGAGTACTAAACGCGAAACAGCGAAGAATAAAAATTTGTTCGTGCATTGGCTCTGCGTTTGAATATTTTTTGCGTGGCAGTTTTTCTTCATTCGCTTCGATGATTGCTGCGCGTAGCAGCAGAGACACGAAAAAAAATCAGGAAAAGAGCAAAAGAGGCGTTGATCTAGAGCATGTAAGCGCGTGTGTGCGCAACGATGCGCACGTGAAAATGGCAGTTCATTAGTAACAACTATGATATATAAACCCTCTCTCTCTCTCTCTCTCTCTCTCTCTCTCTCTCTCTCTCTCTCTCTCTCTCTCTCTCTCTGTACGGGCAGTCCGTTATAAATGTAAGAAAATCGCACACGAAAAAAATTTGCCAGCTCGATAATAACTCGTGCGGCGCGCGAAAGGCGCTTTATTTTCTTCTCAATTTACGTTCCGGCTAGCTGCTCGGTCGCGTTTTTATCTTTTGCGCGACACGCACACATGTGAGTCTGTAACGATTTTTCCCTCCATTCCCGAAAAAAAGCTTCGTTACAGTCCATTGGGAATATTTGTGGTCGGGTAATTTGTTGGTATCCAGAAAGGTTCAAATTAATATATCGTTGCAGGATTGCATATATATCATTTTATTATGGAAACGCGCGTTAATTTAAGAATTTCGCATATAAATGATAAATTCGTGGGCGGATCGTTATTGAATTATTGATTCACACAATTCGATCGTTATAATACATTTTTCAATTAATACATCGGCCACGATGAGCGCTTGGCATGTGTACAGCATTGAGGTATTCGATTAAAAAAGCCAATGGGAATTTCATTCGTCAACAATGCCGATTGCCAAGCGCGCGCGAGAATAATAAATGCAGGATAAAGCAACAAAAAAAAAAAAAGAAGAACAATTGCAAAGCTCGAGTTTCGATGGATATTATTGCCGGGTTATATAGACAATCGACGATATTAGCTCGTGAATAGTCTGCTTTGCTCCTCGGGCTGAGCCACGCCGCGTCACCCCCATTATTATTTGACCCAAGCTCAGCAAAGCCCTAGAACCGCAATAAAGCAGTCACTGTTGCTTATTTCTCATTGGTTTAGGTGGATTCGACCTTGCCTATTGATCTTCGAATGTGTGTGCACAGCATACTAATATCAAGTCCAGATTGTTAGCTCCGCATTCTGACTATTATTATTGACATTATAAAGGGATGAATATACAAAATTGAACCTGTGAGTTCTAATCTTTTAGCCCGAGCCATCGCCAACT